CGCTGATCTCCACCGCAGTGAGGGACCGGTGTACGCACCTGGTGATCGAGTCTGGCTCTCTACCAGAAACCTGCCCCTCCGCCTGCCCTGTCGGAAACTGGGTCGGCGGTTTGTAGGGCCATTTAAAGTCCTGAGAAGGTTGAACGAGGTATGTTATAAATTACAGCTACCTGTGGAGTATAAGTGTATTAACCCCTCGTTCCATGTGTCCCTTCTCAGGCCGGTGGTAGCGGGCCCACTCCAAGAAAATGAGATAGGGGAGACTCCTCCGCCCCCAGTGGACATCGAGGGGGCACCGGCGTACTCCGTGAGGTCCATCTTGGATTCGAGACGTCGGATGGGGGGTCTCCAGTATCTAGTGGAGTGGGAGGGGTACGGTCCGGAGGAGCGGTGCTGGGTGCCGAGGAGAGACATTTTGGACCCGTCGCTCCTGACGGAATTCCATCGGGGGCATCCGACGCGCCCTGCTCCACGTCCTCCGGGTCGTCCCCGAGGCCGGAGTCGGCACACGTCTGGAGCCGCGCGTCAAGGGGGGGGTACTGTCACGGTTTCGGCCGAGGCTGCCTCTCTCCCTTGTTCGGGCAGGCTTCGGCGTTCGTCGTCTCCGGAATTCTAGCTGCCACCGTTGTATGTTTCATGTTCGTTTGCTTTGGTCTGTTTGTTTTCACACCTGTTTCTCATTTGGCGTATTAGTGTCCTATAAGTTTCTCGTTGTGTTTGTCTAGTGTTGTGTGTTATTGGATTTTGTCAGTTGTGTGTAGGGTTTCTACATGTTCGCTCGGTTGAGCTTCCCTCCACTGTTTTGGAGAGTTTACGCACTTGTCTGGTGCGCTTTTGGTTTCGTTTTGCCTTTGTGCGTATTTGTTTCGCCTTTGGCTATTGTATTAGTATTTTCCGTGTTTGGATTTATACTAAAGTCTTGTGGACTATACTCCGGTGTCCTGCGTCTGATTCCACCACATCACCCACCTACACCAAGCGTGACAGAATAGCTCAGTGTGGATGTGCATTTCAACAGTTACTCTCTCCTTACATAGAAGGGATGGGTGGAAGGCTCAGGCCAACTGATGTGTGAATATGGAGCCATATATAGGTCTGGTTTATATTAAAACTACAGTACATCATGAACATGTTGTTGAACCACCTCAGCCTCGTCTCTAAAAACAGAGATTCCCATGCTGTGTTTTGACAGTAGCAGAATCTTTGTGGCTTTCCCATGATGTCTCAGTTGGAATATACCCTGGGCTCCATACAATGTTGTGTGGAGTGCAGACAGAACATTTGAAGAGCAGAGGACTGATATGGTGCTGACAGACACGGTCGTCCTGTTTCTTGCTCCTAGCCAACTTTGCAGTATTTTTATATTTAAATTTTAGTCATTTAGCAGACGCTCTTATCCAGAGCGACTTACAGTTAGTGAGTGCATACATTTTCATACCCCCGTGGGAAACAAACCCACAACCCTGGCGTTGCAAGCGCCATGCTCTTCCAACTGAGCTACAGGGGACTACACACGGGGGGTTATATGTTTTGTTATTTCTTACATTATTTGCTCAGAACGTTTTTTGTTATTATTACCCACAGCTGAAAATAACTTTTGGATATTAGATCGGCGGTCACGCACCAGAAATATGAGCAGAAATTCGACTTCCCCGACCTGGATCTTTGTTTGAACTTCCAGAGGCAGCTCTATTCATCCTGGCAGCTGCACCAAAATGCTAACGCCAGAGAAGAGGAAGAAGGAGTGACGCCCTAGTCAGACTCAGACGGCGTGCATACTATCCACCGATTCAGAATATATTACTTGCTAACGTTCAGTCCCTGGACAATAAAGTAGACGAGCTCAGGGTGCGGATCTCCTTCTAGAGAGACCATAACATACTCTGTTTTACGGAATCATGGTCTCCGGATATATTGTCCCCATCCATTCAGCCAGCGGGGTTCTCCGTCCATTGTGCAGACAGGAAGAAAGAACTCTCCGGGAAACAACACCAACGCCACGCTGATCCTCAACACGGGGCCCCACAGGGGTGCGTGCTCAGCTCCCTGTTCACCCATGACTGCATGGCCATGCACGTCTCCAACTTAATCACCAAGTTTGCTGACGACCAATCAGTGATAGGCCTGATTACCAACAATGACGAGACAGCCTACAGGGATGAGGTAAAAGCCCTGGCGGAGTGGTGCCAGGAAAATAACCTCAACGTCAACAAAATGAAGGAGCTAATCGTGGACTACAGGAGACAGCAGAGAGAGCACGCCCCCATCCACATCGAAGGGGCCGCAGTGGAGAGAGTCAAAAGCTTCAAGTTCCTCGGTGTGCACATCACTGACGACCTGAAATGGTCCCTTCACACAGACACTGTGGTGAAGAAGGCGCAATAGCACCTCTTCAACCTCAGGATCAGGAGGCTGAAGAAATTTGGCTTGGCCCCTAAGACCCTCACAGATGTACCATTGAGAGCATCCTGTTGGGCTGTATCACCGCCTGGTACGGCAATTGCACCGTCCGCAACCGCAGGGCTCTCCAGAGGGTGGTGTGGTCAGCCCAACGCATCACCGGGGGCACACTGTCTGCCCTCCAGGACATCTACAGCACCTGTGTCACAGGATGGCCAAGAAGATCATCAAGGACCTTAGCCACCCGTGACACGGCCTGTTCACCCCGCTACCATCTAGAAGGCGGAGACAGTACAGGTGCATCAAAGCTGGGACCGAGAGACTGATAAAGAGCTTCTAACGCCAGGCCATCTGACTTTTAAACAGTCACAACTAGCCGGCCTCCGCTCAGTACCCTGCCCTGAATCTTAGTCACTGTTACTAGCTGGCTACCACCCTGTACTCTACCCTGCACCTTAGAGACTGCTGCCCTATGTACATATAGTTATTGAACACTGGTCACTTTAATAATGTTTACATACTGTTTTACACACTTTATATGTATATAATGTATTCTCATGGCTCATCCTATATAACTACTTCTGCACACACCTTTTCTATTCATATACTGTCCATACTGTCTATACTCACCATTATATGTATATATATATATATATATATATATATATATATATATATATATATATATATATATATATATATATTTATATATATATATATATATATTTATTTATATTCCAGACTCTGACATTGCTCATTCTGATAATTCTTAATTTCCTTCTTATTTTAATTTTTTTGTTCTTTTTTTGGATGATGTGTGTATTGTTTTGTATTGCTAGGTATTACTGCACTGTTGGAGCTAGAAACACAATCACTTCACTGCACCTGCGATAACATCTGCAGATCTGTGTACGCGACCAATTAACTTTGATTTGATTTGTATACAGTAGCCTACTGTGGGGCTGTATCAGGGGCAGTTTGGTTCCCTCCAATAGACATGTTCCTCTTGGTTTCTCCCTCTAAGAGAGTTTTCTCCAGGGGACTGGCCTTTCCCCTGTCACATAAAGTTACCCAACACAGCCTCAACATGTGGCCACCTTGTCCAAAATAGATCTGCCCAGAGCCTGGCCAGGGTGGTGAACAGAAGAGTGATGACAGGGGCATCACCTAGTCTGTGCTGTTTGATAAATTGCTTCAACAGAGCGTGGTGGACTCAAGGTGAGGCCAGGCTACTTTAGACTATAAGTGCGCATTTATTTGTCACATTTTGTGTGTGCGCCTGCGTGTTTGTGCGTGCGTGCACGTGTGTGTGTGTGTGTGTGTGTGTGTGTGTATGCTTCTGTATGTGTGTGTGCACAAAGGATCATAGTGCTGTGTTTTTTTGTGGGGATACAACAGTCCCAAAACCAAAGACACCTCCTGTCTGTGAGCAGTCTGATATACAGTATGAAGCATATCCTTGTCTGTGTGTACACTACATCTCTGACAGTTCTATGTAAGGGATGCCACTGGAATGCCCACTGAGCCAATCAGAGAGCTTGTTGTGTTCATCAGATCCAGGCCTGGTGTTGGCTGCCTCCCTGATGTGCTGTCTGTATCCTCTTAGTGCTACAATAGATGGATAACATGTCACCAGTCTGTGCTGCTCACTGTGGTCAGAGCAGGAGGCTCTCTTCCTTTTTGCATAATTAAGACTTTTGCGCAGCTCTGGCTATTTTAATGCCTCTGTGGATACCATGCCAAAACCTTCCTCCACCTCATCCATATGTATAAGGTGGACTATGCCAAATGCACATCTCTTGAACTTTGCAGCTGCTGCAGTCTTTTCTCTAACTTTCTCTTTCTTCACAGCAACTGTACACAAACAGCACACACAGCACAGAGATCCCTTTAGTCAACAACACCCCTCAAACCCTCATCTACTGAGATTAGTTGCCCCATCTGGCCCATCCTCACACTGTGATCCAATGCACTTTTATATTTATTTTATAGAGGAATCAGCTCAACATACAGTATTACAAGTAAACTGCACATTCACTGACTGATAGTTGCGGTCAGTGCTGTTTCTCAGGGATACAATACGAATATTTCTGTAATCAACAGAAGGGAAAAAACTATAAACGGAGAGAAGTGAAGAAGCTATCAAAAAGCTCAGGAGTAAATTGCAGCCTCCGGGTAGTGAGGGGGCGGAAAGCTTGATTTCTATCTCTATGCTGAATAAGTCACTTCTGCCGTAGGCCTACATGATCTCAGCTCGACAAATCCACTCTTCTCCCTGTAAAACTATGTTCCATTGGACCTACTGAAAAAGAACGGGCAAAAATAGCTGTGAAGGTTATACCCTGGTACCTCTGACCTTGCTGAGGGAGATGGTCCTTCTGTTCAATTACATGTCTAGTCATTTTGATGTCATTGTGGTTTTGTGGACTGTTACCAGCTTGCAGTTGAAGCAACACACTGTAGCGCTGCATGGATTTGACTGAGTGTGCTTGACTGCAGATAATAACATATGATCGTTTTTTTCCTACAAACTGTATTATATGAATCCACCAATACCGGCAGGCTCACTGGAGAAGACAGAAGGGAAGTGGTGAAGTGGCATGCAGTACAGTACAGCTCCTGCCTCAGGACTGGAGTTCCTCTGGCTACCTCAGGTTTCCATGTGGAGAGGCAGGGAGTTCCATGGTGCCACTTTATCCCCTCTATTGTTTCCCAAGCCTCAGGAGAGATCACTTACCACTGGTGAATCCAGCCATGAAAATGCAGAAAGCTGTTTGGCCCTGGAGACTGGCTCCTTGTGCATGCAGGCGTGAGAGGCGCACCGCGGCTTCACGTGCCAACGCGTTAATGGAGGCCCCGGGGAGCCACAATCTCCTCAATAAATGATTAAGATAGACCAGGCTCTCTCTTACAGAACCCAGTCTCCTGAGTTGTGACAAGGGCACATCTGTCCCAGTCTAGGTCAGGCCCCTGCTTCCAGTACAGTCCCGCTCCCCCCTTCTGAATGTTGGAATTAATGGCTAAGTTGTGTGTACTTAATAAGACATTCCAGAGAGGGTGGACAGGAGGATACTGACAAGAATGGTACAGAATGTTATTAGGACCTGATTGAAGACGTCTGGACATGTTCTTGTTTTAATCTGATTGGATAGATGGTTTACATGAGTCTAGTATTCAAATCATCAATTCCCGTCGTGTTTTGATGGCCCACTTTTTGCCTGGTGAGTGTGAACAGCTTGCTTTTTCTCCAAGCAGAGCATCATGCTGCTGGTGGGAACCCTGGCTGCTAGGAGGCTGCAGGAACTAGTTCCTGGACAATACAACCTGATTCTCTCAACATGCAACAGCATTCTGGAGGTTCCAGTACATGTAGGCACAGTGACAAACACAGAGCCCTGGTAACTGGAAATTACAGGTTTTGGAATTTAAATTCTATGTGAGCGTTGATAGATGGTTCTTAAGATGTTAAAGGTTATATGTAGAACCCTTTGCCTTACAAAGAACCCTTTTCTTCCAAAAAGGGTTATTCTGATCAAAACGGTTCTTGGTAGAACCCTATCCCTCCGCATATAACCCTTCTGGAACCCTTTTTTGGGTTGTGTCGGTATGTGTGTGTGTGTGTGTTATGTGTGTGTATGCGTATGTAGTGTATGTGGATGTGTGTGGGTTTTGTGTGAGAGTGTCAGTGTAGTGTGTGTGAGTGACTGTGTATATAGTGTATTAATACTGTATAGTCTTGTGAGTGTGCATAGAGTCAGTGCAAGATAGTCCGGGTAACCGATTAATTAACTATTTATCAGTCTTATGGCTATTTAGCAGTCTTATGGATTGGGGGTAGACGCTGTCTTGGAGCATGTTGGTCCGAGAGCCATTTTTCGGGCTTTCCTCTGACACCGCTTGATATAGAAGTCTTGGATGGCAGGGAGCTCTGCCGCTGTGAGGGGATCTGATGAGGTCCAATGAGGATCCGAGGGCAAATGCCAAATCTTTTCAGCCTCCTGAGGGGGAAGAGGCGCTGTCGTGCCCACTTCACGACTGTGCGGGTGTGTGTGGACCATGTTAAGTCCTTAGTGATGTGGACGCCAAGGAACTTGAACCGCTCAATTCACTCCACTACAGCCCCTTGGATGTGGATGGTGGCGTGCTCTCCCCTCTTTGTCCTGTAGTCCTCGATCAGCTCCTTGGTCTTACTGACATTGAGGGAGATGTTGTTGTCATGGCATCTTTAACCTCCATCCTATAGGCTGTCTCATCGCCGTCGGTGATCAGGCCTACCACTTTCGTGTCATCAGCAAACTTCATGATGGTGTTGGAGTCGTGTGTGGCCATGCAGTCATGGGTGAACAGGGAGTACAGGAGGGGGACTAAGCACTAAGATAGGTTTACTATTTTCTATTTCCTGTGTGATTTTATCCTGTATGAGTCATCATAGATGCTCTAAAGTTTTAATTAGCTGCTGAGTCTGAGCCACAGATTCTAACATCGTCTCCCTGGTCCCATAATAATCAGCTTATCCCCCTCTAACCCCAGCCTCCTAGCCTCCTCTCCTAGTGGGACCAGTGTGTGATGGAGACCAGGTGGTCAGGGTTTTATTTGGGGGAGAGGAGCAGCACCAGCCCAGTACAGGTGAAATATTTAGAGGAAGTCTGTGGCCTCGTTCCCAGTCTTCACCACCATACAGTATGAACCTGGCAGGCGACGCTACGGGGAAGTGGCTGAGTGGAGAATGTGCTCTGTATCCCCGCTTACTTACATTCCCATTACAGCAGAACACAGCAGATCTCTGAAGGATACTCTCTGGGGTCAATAAAGCTTAAGTGCTTGATAAATGTCTTGAGTGCTTAAGAATTAATTTAATAAATCTACCTCATAACGATCTGCTCTTTACAACCGTCTGATGTTATGTTCTCTGTTTAAAAGAACCTATAGATTTCCTGGGTGATCATTAATTGTTCTCTACATTTCACGGCTGTTACTTGGAAAGGCTTAAGAACTTGATTGTTGATTTTCCGTTTCAAGCAGAGCTGTGTGTGTACTGTATGTAATGGGTTCTGGATAAGTTGCCGTGCATGCATGCGTTGGTGCGCTCTGGGTCCCAGGCCCCATGCTGTGATGCTGCTGCTGCGGCGGCAGAGCCTGAGCTTGAACCTCACACAGGTTGAGTGCACTACATTAACACTGCAATCACTCACACACCACAGGCCCCGAAGCTAAGGAAAGTAATCTATTAATGAAACCAGAAGAATTACCCAAGGGCTCTACCGCTCCTGGTACTCTCAGTGCTTTAAACCACACACACACATACACACACACACACACCAGTCACACAAAAGCCAACAGCATCGTGTTTCCCTCCCCCTCGCTATAAAATGAAACCATCTTTTATTAATGTTCTGTGTTGCAAGGTTGACATGGAGCCCATTTTAATGATTAATCTGAAAGGAAAGTGGGCATTGTACTCAAGGGGACCCTTAGGAAATAGGGTAGCAATGATGCTGTTTCAGGCCTGGGGATTATTTTGCTGGTCAGACTTTTTGTCATTCTATCATTGTACGTATACGTTGTAGGCCTATGGCTATCTGCTCCATTATAATATCTGGCTAGAGTTCCATCAACGTTGTGTCCTGTGAAGCCTCATACCCTGCAGGAGCTCTGGCTGTCTGTTTGGACACACAGACATTATGGAGACTGGGGTTGTTCATCTTTTGTCAGTTAAAGCAACCCAACCATTTACAAGGAAACACGTTAAGTGCATTGCATGGAAGATTTGCTATTGTTGGCGCAGCATTCCCTCCAGGGTGAGCTATTGTACAGTACATTACAGTTTAATGACAAAATTAAGATTGCAACCAACAGAGAGAACACAGGAGAGGAAAACGCTTGTGAAGCAGTCTGACATTTAATAGAATTATCCCACCTTTTATTGGCTGTGCTACTACTTATGCGTATGGTAGTATTAGTACAGGACAGGCATTTTGCCACAGGTTTAGCCAAATGTTTGTATGATTTATGATGAATTAAGGCTGGGAATTGCAAGGGACCTCACGATCCGATATTATCACGATACTTAGGTGCCGATACAATATGTATTGCGATTCTATATGTATTGTGATTCGATACTGTGATTGTATTGTGATTCGGTGTTCCAAACATATTGCTCACCATATGTTTGCTGCAGAGGGACAAGAAAGAGCCATGAGAAAATGAGTTTTGATCAGTCATGAAAATAAAAGGGCTGAAAACAAATTGGACCCCTGTTTAAAAAGAAGATGGAGAACAAGCTATGAAGGAAAAATACTGGAGTTTTGGTGCAGGTACAGTCAACTAGCGCAAAAATAATATTGCAATATTGTCAAAATGATACGATACGATATAGCGTCAAAAATAATATCCCGATTATGTAACTGTATCGATTCTTTCCCCCCCAGCACTATTATGATTCATCCTCTGGATTTGATGGCTGAGCATGCAATCTGTTTACAGGATGTGTGGAAAGAGGGCTCCCTTACTACATTCTTAGAAAAAAAGTGCTATCTAGAACTTAAAAGGTTTCTTTGGCCGTCCCCATAGGAGAACCCTTTAAAGAACCCTTTTGGGTTCCAGGTAGAACTATTTTGGGTTCCATGTAGAACCCTTTCCACAGAGGGTTCTACATGGAACCCAAAAGGGTTAAACCTGAAACCAAAAAGGGTTCTACCTGGAACCAAAAATGGTTATCCTATGGGGACAGCAAAGAACCCTTTTGTAACCCTTTTTTCTAAGAGTGCACTCAACTGTAAAATGTCACGAGGGGTAACAGAATGCATAGGTTTTCACACCAGATGCTACTGCCACAATAACAACCACTGTTCACATGAACCAACCAGTGTCTTTATCGGAGATGCTATTTGATTTGGTTAGTCAATGGTCACACCAGTGGATTCTATTGGCAGTTTGGTCGACACCCTTTAACAATCCATGACCAACCCAGCTGAAGAGACGCTGCATTAGTTTTAATTAGGAATTCACCAGCATCATTCATTAGATCCTTTATTCCCACCACACCGTCACACAGATCCTATAATTACAGAGCCTGTTGGAGGGAAATAATGCAGCTCGGCTTTGTGTGGGGTAGAGAGATGACTCAGGGAGGGAGGGAGAGAGAGAGCGGAGAAGTAGCGGGAGAGGGAGAGAGGAATGCTATGGAATACTAACACACTTGCTGTCTGCAACAAAAGCCAGGCTTCCTGTCTGACTCAATGTGTCATCGTTTGCCCATATACAGCACTGTCTTCCAGCCTTTTTTGCTTTGTCATTGGCTCGCCTTGGCATGGATTTCTGCCCAGTGGTGTTTTTTGAGGCCGGTGCATCTCAGAACAATGTGTATTGTCTATTTACTGCTTTTATAAACTACAAGTTATTAAAGTTGAATAAACAAAGTTTAATTCTATATGCAAGGTGAACAAGAATGTTTTATTATGACAGGATATTGTGTCAATACTCAGAGTGAGAGACTGTGATTGATCTTATTGAGGGATCTTTGACCTATTTTATAATGATGTAATATGCATAATCGATAAGCGTGTGTGTCCTTGCGCAATGCATTGGCCCTTTCATGCTTCTATTTTTGCCTGGGGTGAGTAAGCAGGCATGTCGGGTTGAGTTGTGAGCTGGATGTGAGGGAGAGGTCTAGAAGTGACAGTGGCAATCGCCCATGGAGGTCCGCGAGCTCTAAGTCTTACTGTGCAAAGGTCAGACTGTTAGCAGCGCTCGCTCGCACTGATATTTGGCTGGAGAGTCACGGCAGGCACCCGGTAAGCCTTCTCTGACAGGGCTCTCTCTTAATGAAGTGTGTTATCTGGAGCCTGAGTAATGACATTGAGGAGACTACTGCTCGAAGAGACACTTCCTCTGCCATCACAGGCCCAATGAGGACAGAGAGAGTGACTGAGGCTGACTCTAGCAGCCCAGACTGCCCTGGTCTAGCCTGGCCTGAGGTGACCTCCGCTCACAGCTCAAGGGTCATACTGTTCTTAATGGTGAGGGGAAGGGACATGTCTTCTTGTCCTCTGGACTGGAGAGATCCAGTGAGATCCAGTAGCAGCAGCAGCCATCAGGTGGTGTCCAGGCCAACAGCAGCATGTTACCCACGCATGGCCAGATGTGTCTTATTCCCAGCAGGCCTAAGCCCCCTCTGTGTCAGGAGCTCATTTAGGGAATCCTCTGCTGTTCACCCACACATCACGTTGTGCTTTGCATGCTTCAATCGTATGCATTTAAGGTCGACTACTCCCATCTGTCAGACAACCAAAAATAGACATGCAGAGCTCTGACTACGCTGAGGGCATCATGAACATCTCTGGTTGCTATGCAAATGTAGACAGTGGGAAATGCTAGAGATATGGATGTGCTGTAGATACAAATGTGGATTAACCACATTATCATCCCATCCAAGGTCACTAAACAGTCCTCATTGGCTGACATGTTATCAATAGCAGTGTGACAGATTCATCTGACACATGATATGCTTGACCTTGAAGCGTGTTCCTTTAAAAGTTTGCGTGAAGACTTATGAGTTTATATGAGTTTGATTGTGAGGAGCATGTGTGTTGACTGACCCCATTACAAAGCTCCATTAAACGGCCCCAAGTGAGCCAGTGGGGAGGGTGTGAGGTGGCACGTGAGGCCTGTTTGTCCCTGGCATGGGGAGGGAGAAGGAGAGGGAGGACAGTGGAGCGATCAGCTCCACCATTAATCTCAGTTCTCTCCCTGGCACTGATGTATCACCTCCTCATCCACATCACAGTTATTAGTAAGACTGGGAGATGCAATCCTCTTAATATGTCACACATGTCATGCCTAGAAGCCACAGCTTCAGCACCTGAATGTGTATATCCTCTTCAGCTATTAAAATGCAATGGCACTGAGTGATAAACAGATCATTCACATTTATTGATTGCATTTCTTTTCTGTTATAGCATTGCTTTGAAGATGACTTTTTACATTGGTACTGATTCATGATATTGTAATAATTGTAATAATTTAGACTGTAGTTTCCTGATGTTGCACAGTAATCTGTGAGGGGTTCCAGTGTGTCAGAATTCTAGTCCACCCAGTTTCAGTACATATGCTTATCACAGAACCACTGCCATTATTCTAGTTAGCTGACTAACAGACACAGTGTTAAGCTGACAGCCTGACTGAGTCTGCAGTATATAACTCCCAGGTTGTAGGTAGAGATGTGTATTAGTTGCCTTGCCTGCTGGATGGATCACCACCCTGTTCCAATGAGCTGTAATCATCCCTGGTGTGTGCTTATGCTAATACCAGCAGCCCTTACAAATGCCTTAAGCTCCACCAGAGGGAAAACAACTTATTATGGTAGTGTGCAATGTTTGCTGGAAATCCAAATAACGTATCTTTCTGGAATAATTCAGAGAGGGTGGATATTATTATGGAAAACATGTTGGTTTGAGTGACTACCCGAACGGTTTTGGCTATGAACTAATGCTAATATGACCCCTCTATGGAAAGATGAGGCTCTCACGAGCACGATGGTGTTCTACGTTTTTCTCTACGACCCCCAGAAGCGTCACGGGACTTGTCTGAAGTAGGTACCGCCTATCTGCAAACTTCTATCTGAGGCGTCCAAACAATTTGGGCTACACACTAATATGACCCCATAATCGAAAGGTGAGACTCTCACGAACACGTACATGTTGCCTCACAAGACTCATCTTAAGGTAGCCCGGTACCAGTTAAAAGAATGTATGGAAGTGCAGTACCAGTCAAAAGTTTGGACACACCTACTCATTCCAGGGTTTTTCTTTATTTTTACTGTTTTCTACATTGTAGAATAATAGTGAAGACATCAAAACTATGAAATAACACATATGGAATCATATAATAACCAGAAAGGTGTTAAACAAATCAAAATATATTTTATATTTGAGATTCTTCAAAGTAGCTGCCCTTTGCCTTGATGACAGCTTTGCACACTCTTGGCATTCTCTCAACCAGCTTCATGAGGTAGTCACCTGGAATGCATTCCAATTAACAGGTGTGCCTTATTAAATGTTAATTTGAGGAATTTATTTCCTTCTTACTGCATTTGAGCCAGTCAGTTGTGTTGTGACAAGGTAGGGGTGGTATACAGAAGATACAGCCCTATTTAGTAAAAGACCAAGTCCATATTATGGCAAGAGCAGCTCAAATAAGCAAAGAGAAATGACAGTCCATCATTACTTTAAGACATGAAGGTCAGTCAATACGGAACATTTCAAGAACTTTGAAAGTTTCTTCAAGTGCAGTCGCAAAAACCATATAATAATAATATGACATTTAGCAGACACTTTTATCCAAAGCGACTTACAGTCATGCGCGCATACACATTTTTTGTGTATGGGTGGTCCCGGTGATCGAACCCACTACCTTGGCGTTACAAGCGCCGTGCTCTACCAGCTGAGCTACAGAGGACCACAAGGACAGACACGTCAAAGCATACTTCCTTTAGATTTATTTTTTTACTGTCTGTTTTGCCATGTATGAATATGTTATTCAATGCGTTTCTATGGGCTAATAGCATTAAGTATTTTGGGGGGATACTTACAGCAGTCCTAACATTCTAAATCAAATAGCTAAAATGATCCTTGGTATGACCATCTTAAAACAGTTCCATATGTTAGCTTAGTTTAAACCCGGGACCTTAATTAATGCCGTTAAATCCCTTCTGTTTGCCATCTATCATATGCAATTCTTCTCAGCATAGTATACTGTATATAGAGTATTATGAGTTTGACCAATCATCATACTTATACTGTGTGATACTTGGTTAACCTTCATTAAACTTTAGAATATCACGCAGAGGTGCTGTAACACACCATTTGTCTCTCTAAATGTACAGGCCTAGAGGTACAGTAATTTTAGGGAGAAGAAACACTTGCATTAAACTCAGTGTAGAGGGTCTGGACTCCATAGGGAGGCTGAGTTAGTCCATAGGAATCGCACCTTTGGCTGTGGAGAATATAGGAGACTGACGGGGGCATCAGATGTGCAGTAGAGAGTCAGTGGAGGAGTGTGCCCACTGTGCCCAGTCCTCTGTGCCACTGTGTGGTGTGCCAGACTGCTGCTCTGAGGGCAGCATGCCCACACGCAAGCAAGGGAGGGTCACCACACTGGGCCAGTCCATCAGTCTAACCCAGCCAGATCTCAGCACACTTAATCCACTCTCTCATTGTTCCTCAGCTATGGAGGGCTTCTGGCCCAGACTCAGCAGATGGCTGTGGTGGCTGTCATCAATATTGGATGAATCCTAGATGTCTCCACAGGTTCTGGGAAATATGAAGCGCATTTCTCTATCAGTAATTACCTCCCTCTTCCCCTTAGTCTCACACTCAAACTTTGGCAGAGGTTCACCCTCATGTCCTGATGGAGTTGTTGAGTTCCTGGGATGGCCCACTTATGTCCTTTAAGTGGGGGTATTTCCTCAAAATTGCCTGCTTACAGAAATTTGTTGTGCTCTTTTCTTGTGTTCGCTGTCAGTTCCTCATGTTATTGTTTTCTCCTTGTCTTGCAGCGGGATGCTAAAGGACAGTATCTGTTCGACCTGATCTGCCACCACCTGAACCTACTGGAGAAGGACTACTTTGGCATCAGATATGTGGACCCAGACAAGCAGCGGGTGTGTGTGTGTGAGTGCCTGCGTGCGTGCTTGCGTGCGTGTGTGTGTCCCTGTGCTGGATGAAGCATACTGCAGTAAAGGTGACGGTTCAAAGAGATACAGGGCCAGATTGAAGATTCATGTTATTTACTTTCTTTCATAACACACCATTTCAGAGTGACACTCGTTCCATCAGCAGCAGCAGCAGAGCACTGAAGGGTATTACTCTCTCTCAGAGAGAGCTTGTAGCGGCACTGCTTGATTCATGAAGAATTTACATGTGCTCAGATTGTGTCTTTTAGCCACAGAGACAAGACACCGGTCCTGCTGATCCTGCATTTCCAATGCTGCCACTCAGGGCTATTTCAGTGGTTGTTGTTGTGGTGATGAGGTGGTGAAGAGAGGGGCTTGATGGAGTTAATGTTCCCAGAAGGACAGGGGGATGAATCAGGGCCTGATATACTGGCAGAACCAGAGTTACCTTCAGCACTGAGCTTAGAGAGTACTGCCACAGTGTGTGTGTCTGTCTGTCTGTCTGGCCAGGCCCAGGCATACTGGTGTAGTATCATCTGATAGAACATCCATTACTGTCATTTATAGACAGAGAGGTTATCTGTATGGGCCTTTACTGTTCAATTTGCTTCAGCATGATGTTGATTTAATGAAACAAATCAGGACTTGATAGCATGAATGATGGTGTGTTTTAGATCCAAAGCTGACATGACATGACACAGGCTTTCACACATCTTTAGATGAACGGTCATTCCTGTCTATTGCATTTAACCTGCTAGCTTTGTAGAGTGATATGAGCGTGGTGTCAGGAGTAACAGCTCAGCTCAGCTGTAATTAAGGCAGTAGAAGCAGGATTTTCAGACGTTTCACTTTTGTCACACTTTGATCATGTGTCTTTTTTGTTGTTGATGCAGCATTGGTTGGAGGTCACAAAGTGTATTGCCAAGCAGATGAAATGTAAGTATTTTGAGTGTCTTCCTGTTCACACTATGATAATTCTGCTAATTGAGCAATTATAGTTTTCATCAGCATGGGGTCTCTAATGACACATCATGTAATCTGACTAATGGGCGGCAGGTAGCCAAGTGGTTAAGAGCGTTCGGCCAGTAACCAAAAGGTTGCTGGTTTGAATCCCTGAGCCAACTAGGTGAAAAATCTGTCGTTGAGCCCTTGAGCAAGGCACTTAACCCTAATTGCTCCTGTACATTGCTCTGGATAAGAGTGTCTGCTAAAATGTAAATGTAATGATTGTGCATTTGAATACAGATGGTAGGAAGTTACTGTATTATGATTTCAACAGATCAAGATTCTCCATTTGACTGTGAGTATGGACAGAAAAGATGAACTGTCCCTCAAAAAAACTCACATAAATCCTAGCAGAAGATAATCCACACTAAGGTCTCTCACCCACTCTCTTGTCTTTGCAACTCATCATCAACTGTGTCTTGCTAGTTGTGGATACAGAGCTTAAGTGAGATTCCATTAACCTAATCTATTGTATACTGTGCTATGATATGAAGTAAAGATCTAAACTCATTTTCATTTATGGTAATCATTTTTCAGTGCCACCTTCAAAGATTGGTTAATTCATGGGAGCTGTTTAAATTGAGTAGCCATTTGAAATGCTAATATGTTAACTGAAATGGTTTAATCAATTCATGTTAGCACTATGTTAGAACACTTTTGCAAGGTGGTGCTTTTAGAGCATTTTTTCAGTTAATCATTTGAACTCTGACCATGAAATGTTCCTGACTATTTCGTTCTCCATTGCTGACTCAAGCCTTTGTCCCCCAGCCCAGCCTCCGTTCACCATGTGTCTCAGAGTCAAGTTTTACCCTCCTGATCCCGCTGCTCTCAAAGAGGAAATAACCAGGTAGGACTTTGTGTGATACTCAGCAAAGTAAAGAAATGCCAACAACCACTCCCCCAGCGACAACTCTGGGCTCCTCTAGTATAAAGAAGAAGTCAGGTAAAGCAGCCATGGCTTTGTGTATCAAAGATTTTAATAACTTTTGACTTTTCAAAATCAGTTTCAAAGCACCCTCTGTTGTTTACCACCTTCTCTCACACTTTTCTTTTTCTCCAGAAATGTTTGCGTGCTGAATGCACAGACAGTATTTTTAGTTTTTCTAGACATTATTGAAGGGCCTCCATAATTAAAAAAGTCTGAGCATTTTGTGTCTAAAATAGTGCGATAAATATTAAAAAGAGACGGTGCTGTTTGAAGTAAAGTTGAGATGTATGTAAAAAGCCTTCCTAAATAAGCTGGCGGGAGAGCCTGTTCTCAGAAATGTCTGCTAAATTGGGAGGCTGTGTAGCTGGCCTGTGCTCTGCGTTGGTCTCTCTGGATGGCTGACTGGCTGACTGGCTGGCTGTTGAGGGAAGGTAGGGAAGGAGGAGGACTGAGGGTCAGTGACTGCTAGCAGACTCCTCTAAATGATACATGATTAGCCCCCAGCTAGCTCAGATTGGAATCATTTTTGCACTGTTCTTCGCCTGACTCCCTCATCCCCTATGCAGTCTGCAATGAGGTCACCCAGAAAAGCCTCTCTGTGCCCTCAATAGGGCCTTTAAACACCCTCTGATATGTTCTGATCTCTACCACCTGATGATAACATCAAATAAGCAAGTACAGTGCATTTGAAAAGTACCCCTTCACTTTTTCCACATTTTGTAACATTAAAGCCTTATTCTAAAATTGATTAAAACACATTTTTCCTCATCAATCCTCATCAATCAATTCCTCATACACACAATACCCTATAACGATAAAGCAAAAACAGGTTTTGGGAAATTTTTACAAATGTATCAAAAATAAAAACAGAAAAATCAAATTTACATAAGTATTCAGACCCTTTACTCAGTACTTTGTTGAAGCACCTTTGGCAGCGATTACAGTCTTGAGTCTTCTTGGGTATGATGCTACAAGCTTGGCACACCTGTATTTGGGGAGTTTCTCCCATTGTTCTCTGCAGATCCTCTCAATCTTTGTCGGGTTGGTTGGGGAGCATCACTGCACAGCTATTTTCAGGTCTCTCCAGAGATGTTCTATCAGGATCAAGTCCAGGCTCTGGCTGGGCCACTCAAGGACATTCAGAGACTTGTCCCAAAGTCACTCCTGCGTTGTCTTGGCTGTGTGCTTAGGGTCGTTGTCCTGTTGGAAGGTGAACCTTCGCCCCAGTCTGAGGTCCTGAGCGCTCTGGAGCAGGTTGTCATCAAGGATCCCTCTGTGCTTTGCTCTGTTCATCTTTCCCTCGATCCTGACTAGTCTCCCAGTCCCTGCCGCTGAAAAACATTCCCACAGCATGAGGCTGCCACCACCATGCTTCACTGTAAGGATGGTGCCAGGTTTCCTCCATACGTGACGCTTGGCATTCAGGCCAAAGAGTTGAATCTTGGTTTCATCAGACCAGAGAATCTTGTTTCTCATGGTCTGAGTGTCCTTTAGGTGCCTTTTGACAAACTCCAAGCGGGCTGTCATGTGCCTTTTACTGAGGAGTGGCTTCCGTATGGCCACTCTACCATAAAAGCCTGATTGGTGGAGTGCTGCATAGATGATTGTCCTTCTGGAAGGTTCTCCCATCTCCAGAGAGGAACTCTAGAGCTCTGTCAGAGTGACCATCGGGTTCTTTTTTTCCCCCGCAAATATATATATATATATATACATATACATATACATACATATACACATACATACATACATATAAATACATATACAGTGGGGAGAAGAAGAATTTGATACACTGCCGATTTTGCAGGTTTTCCTACTTACAAAGCATGTAGAGGTCTGTCATTTTTATCATAGGTACACTTCAACTGTGAGAGACGGAATCTAAAACAAAAATCCAGAAAATCACATTGTATGATTTTTAAGTAATTAATATGCATTTTATTGCATGACATAAGTATTTGATACATCAGAAAAGCAGAACTTAATATTTGGTACAGAAACCTTTTTTTGCAATTACAGAGATCATATACAGTGGGGAGAACAAGTATTTGATACACTGCCGATTTTGCAGGTTTTCCTACTTACAAAGCATTTAGAGGTCTGTAATTTTTATCATAGGTACACTTCAACCGTGAGAGACGGAATCTAAAAATCCAGAAAATCACATTGTATTATTTTTAAGTAATTAATTTGCATTTTATTGCATGACATAAGTATTTGATACATCAGAAAAGCAGAACTTAATATTTGGTACAGAAACCTTTGTTTGCAATTACAGAGATCATACGTTTCCTGTAGGTCTTGACCAGGTTTGCACACACTGCAGCAGGGATTTTGGCCCACTCCTCCATACAGACCTTCTCCAGATCCTTCAGGTTTCGGGGCTGTCGCTGGGCAATACGGACTTTCAGCTCCCTCCAAAGATGTTCTATTGGGTTCAGGTCTGAAGACTGGCTAGGCCACTCCAGGACCTTGAGATGCTTCTTACGGAGCCACTCCTTAGTTGCCCTGGCTGTGTGTTTCGGGTCGTTGTCATGCTGGAAGACCCAGCCACGACCCATCTTCAATGCTCTTACTGAGGGAAGGAGGTTGTTGGCCAAGATCTCGCAATACATGGCCCCATCCATCCTCCCCTCAATACGGTGCAGTCGTCCTGTCCCCTTTGCAGAAAAGCATCCCCAAAGAATGATGTTTCCACCTCCATGCTTCATGGTTGGGATGGTGTTCTTGGGGTTGTACTCATCCTTCTTCTTCCTCCAAACACGGCGTGTGGAGTTTAGACCAAAAAGCTCTATTTTTGTCTCATCAGACCACATGACCTTCTCCCATTCCTCCTCTGGATCATCCAGATGGTCATTGGCAAACTTCAGACGGTCCTGGACATGCGCTGGCTTGAGCAGGGGGACCTTGCGTGCGCTGCAGGATTTTAATCCATGATGGCGTAGTGTATTACTAATGGTTTTATTGAGACTGTGGTCCCAACTCTCTTCAGGTCATTGACCAGGTACTGCCGTGTAGTTCTGGGCTGATCCCTCACCTTCCTCATGATCATTGATGCCCCACGAGGTGAGATCTTGCATGGAGCCCCAGACCGAGGGTGATTGACCGTCATCTTGAACTTCTTCCATTTTCTAATAATTGCGCCAACAGTTGTTGCCTTCTCACCAAGCTGCTTGCCTATTGTCCTGTAGCCCATCCCAGCCTTGTGCAGGTCTACAATTGTATCCCTGATGTCCTTACACAGCTCTCTGGTCTTGGCCATTGTGGAGAGGTTGGAGTCTGTTTGATTGAGTGTGTGGACAGGTGTCTTTTATACAGGTAACGAGTTCAAACAGGTGCATTTAATACATGTAATGAGTGGAGAACAGGAGGGCTTCTTGAAGAAAAACGAACAGGTCTGTGAGAGCCGGAATTCTTACTGGTTGGTAGGTGATCAAATACTTATGTCATGCAATAAAATGCAAATGAATTACCTAAAAATCATACAATGTGATTTTCTGGATTTTTCTTTTAGATTCCGTCTCTCACAGTTGAAGTGTACCTATGATAAACATTACAGACCTCTACATGCTTTGTAAGTAGGAAAACCTGCAAAATCGGCAGTGTATCAAATACTTGTTCTCCCCACTGTACATATCCTTAAAAATATATATATATTTCCCTTTATTACTTTCCAACCCCACCACCCCTTCCCTAATTGGAGTAAACTAGTGAACAACAATGCTTAGGCCTCTACTTCCAGCTTATACATACTATATACATTTTATGGACACAGTCAATTTTACAATAATTCTATTTTGTTTGTTTTTACTCATAAACTTCCTGTACCCCCAACCTCTCCGATCATTTTCATGATGTCTATCCGGTTTGCTTCTATATGCCATATCTTCCTAACTGTGCTCTTTCACAAAAGCTCTCAACCTATAACCTATATACTTATTATGGACACAGTATGCACCTCCCTGACCAAGGCCCTTCTCCCCGGATTGCTCAGTTTGGCCGGGCGGCTAGCTCTAGGAAGAGTCTTGGTGGTTCCAATCTTCTTCCATTTAAGAATGATGGAGGCCACTGTGTTCTTAAGGACCTTCAATACTGGAACTTGTTTTGGTACCCTTCCCCAGATCTGTGCCTCGACACAATCCTGTCTCGGAGTTCTACGGACAATTCCGTCAACCTCATGGCTTGGTTTTTGTTCTGACATGCACTGCCAACTGTGGGAACTTATATAGACAGGTGTGTGCCTTTCCAAATCATGTACAATCAATTGAATTTACCACAGGTGGACTCCAATCAAGTTGTAGAAACATCTCAAAGATGATCAATGAAAACAGGATGCACCTGAGCTCAATTTCGAGTCGCATAGCAAAGGGTCTGAATACTTATGTAAATAAGGTATTTCTGTTTTTCATTTGTAATAAATGTGATGAAAAAAAAACATGTTTTCGCTTTGTCCTCATGGGGTATTGTGTGTAGATTGATGAGGAAAATGTTATATTTAATCCATTTTAGAATAAGGCTATAACGTAACAAAATGTGGAAAAAATGAAGGGGTCTGAATACTTTCCGAATGCACTGTACGTGTGCAATTGAGTATGAGTGTGTTTCTTGTGTCTGTGTATTGGTACATGTGTGTTTGCTTATGTCTATTACAATGTGTGTATGTGTTGAAAGGAGGCACACACACCTAGCCTGTTTATATGAGGTGTTTGACATCTCATATTCATTACTGTCTAGCGATTCATTAACTTAGGTGTGATGAAATGAACATAGAATGCAGAGTGCAGATAATGAATTGTGCGGATTTTGTTTGGGTGACAGGTTCTGATGGAGTGGGAGAGGGAGGAGAGAAGGAGTGGCTGAGGAAAAGAGTGATAGAGAGAGTGGTAGAGAGGGATAGACCACCTCATCTAGTTGGAGACCAGGGAGATGAAGGGTGAAAGGAGGGTAAATGATAATAATCAATGACAAGTCTAGTTCAATGTTGTTTCCTTATTAATCAAATACTGAAAGGATACTGTACACTATATAGCACAATGGTTAGACCACACAATGAGGGAAGAGGATAGGGATGGGTAAAATATTAATTTCAATTCACGGCTGTCCTTCAACAAATCTACCGACAGCAGAGATGTGAAAGGCAGATGAAAAGACAAAATAAATGTAGGGCAGAAAATTGGCACGATACAGTATTGGTCATTTACTGGTGTCACCCAGAGAGAGAATGGGAAGTTGCTTTTTTGTCATATATGGCTCCTTAAGTGATATGCTATTAACTGTGGTGGAACTGGTCTATATTACAAAGTTACAGCCGAGCATACGTATCTTCTCGCATTCACATGGGTTCTCCTGGGCTCATTTAGGTGTTGGTTGTGGGAAGTTGGTGTCAGGGGAATCTGGGGTCCATTTGGTCGTCTCTCCAAATGGTCCATTGAACCGTTTTTTTCACGTTACATTCACTTTCAGAATCTTTAAATGGACAAACCTGTACAGAAACCATTGCTAACACCTGCATTGTTCCAGGTGTTAGTCTCAGTCTGCAGCCAGTGTAGCTGGTGTATCTGGCAGACAGTGCTGCTGTGTTCTGGGAGGCCCTGGTCCCATCTGGGTTCTAATCTGGATGCTTGAACAGAAACACAGTCAGTCGACAATAGCGGCAGTTTGCCTCAGGACCTCCCATACCAAACCCTGTCCCCAAAACTCATTTAAACATCCTTTCCCCTGAAACAGAAAGCACATTTTGTGCAAAATCTTTTTTTATTTTTTATTCAAAGCACCCAAAGGGAATCTGAAAATCAACATTCTTTTGAGTTTGTCAGTGGTGATGTCTTGCCATTGAATTGTTTTGCAGTAGATCTAAAAATAAGTGTCTGTAATATTGAGGAATCTCATTAAAGTAGACAGGTGACTGAGTTTCATGACCTCTGACCTTCTTCCCCCTCTCTGTTCTGGTCACAGATATTTAGTCTTCCTGCAGATCAAGAGAGATCTGTACCACGGCCGCCTCCTGTGTAAGACATCGGATGCTGCCATGCTGGCTGCCTTCATCCTGCAAGGTACAGTGACAGGACCTGACAGGCTGGATTTGCCTGCCCCACTCTCTGGACTGTATTTTCAAACTGTATTCCCCATCATAGAGATAAATACCAGCCGGGAAAAAAATACCTGGATTTCTTATAAGGATGTTGTGTAATCAGTTTGTAATGCAGATTAAATGCCCTGAGGGTTTCTTACCTCCGTATTGACTGATCTCTTCTGTATGATAAAAAGCATGAAATTAGAATTTCATGCAGACAACACGTGCACCTCCATACTAATTTACACTGTAAATCCATAGCTGACAAAGAAAGACAGGACGGCTGATAAGTAAGATCAATGCTTTGAAACGTGGATGTCATGCTAGGTTATAAGGTCTTCTGATTATCAGGCATCTTGCTATCAGCACTATCGTTAGCTGTTTAAAATCAAATCAAATTGTATTCGTCACATACACAGTTTACAGCAGGTATAAAAGGTGCAGTGAAATGCTTATGTGCTAGCTCCCTCAACAATGCAGTACATCATTCTATAGCAATTATGACAATACAAATTGTCACGTCAAAAATAACAAGTAATAGAAGTAATAGGAGAGGTAGTATGCATAGTAATAATGGACTGTATTACACTGTATTTACAAATATAAAGTTGGTCACGCAGTGGAATACATAGTATATAATAGAACAGCAGCTTTGACTGTGTGTGTGTATGTATGTGTGTGTGTTCTGAGTGTGTATGGGTGCTTGTGTGTGTGTGTGTGTTTGTGTGTACGTTTGTGTGTAAGGGTTGGATGTGTGGGTAGTTAGTGGAAATCATCACTAAGGTGCAAATAGTCTCTAAGGTGCAGGTCTGTGCAGGGAGACAGCTAGGGTTAGCTGTTCAGCAGTCTAATGGCCTGGTGGTAGTAGCTGTCTCTGAGCCTGTTGGTCCGAGACCCAATGCTCTGATACCGCTTGCCAGATGGTAACCGAGTGAACAGTCTGTGGCTCGGGTGACTGGAGTCCTTGATGATCTTTCGGGACTTCCACAGACACCGTCTGGAGTAGATGTCCTGCAGGGCAGGGAACTCGCCCCCAGTGATGTATTGGGCTGTCCGCACCACCCTCTGTAGAGCCTTCTGGTTGAGGGCGGTGTAGTTGCCATACCAGGTGGTGATGCAGCCGGTCAAGATGCTCTCGATGGTGCAACAGCAATACACAAATTGGCTTAATTATTTATTTACTAACCCCCCCCCCCCTGTTTCCTGTAGTCCACGATCAGCTCCTTTGTTTTGCTGACATTGAGGGAGAGGCTGTTTTCCTGGCACCACTCTGCCAGGACTCTAACCTCGTCCCTGTAGGCTGTTTCATTGCAGTCAACATCAGGCCCACCACCGGTGTGTCATCGGTAAACTTAATGATGGTGTTGGAGTCATGCACGGCCACGCAGTCGTGGGTGTACAGGGAGTACAGGAGGGGGCTGAGCACACACCCCTGGGGGGTCCCCATATTGAGGGTCAGCGTGGCGGAGGTGTTGTTGCCTAACCTCACTACCTCGGGTCTACCTGTCAGGAAGTCCTGGATTCATTTGCAGAGGGGGGTGTTCATACCCAGAGCCTTGAGCTTAGTGTCAAGCTTGGAGGGGACAATGATGTTGAATGCTGAGATGTAGTCAATGAACAGCACTCTCACGTAAGCATGGAGCTCACACACAGTAGACCCTCCAAAAACAGGCAGGCTGTATGTTTGAGGGGTACGGCGAGCGAGCCAAAGGCCGCAGAAAGTACAGTATTAGGAGAAGGCAGGTCCCTTGGCATGCACCGCTCTGTTCAGGAGGAGGGGCTGCTGCTGAATTAAAGATCTGCTGCCTGGTCACCTCCTCGTCCTCTCTCACTGGGGGAAATAATTGTCAGAGCCTCATGAGGGACTTCAGTGTGGCATGAAGTCACAAATAAACAACTGCAACCCTGGGCCAGTTTAAAATGTCGTCATTAAGAGCTCTGCTGACAACACCTCGGCCAGGGTGCCAGTAATGTGTGTGTAAAACTGTATCAAGACTCACCTTAGCCCTAATAATTCTTGTTTACGAGGACACACTTCATAGCAAGTTACAGTGCCTTGCAAAAGTATTCAAGTGAATAGTTATGCACGCTCAAGTTTTCTGTTATGTTGTCTTATGTCTTGTTTGTTTCACAATAAAACATATTTTGCATCTTCGAAGTGTTAGGCATGTTGTGTAAATCAAATAATACAAACCCCCAAAAAATCTATTTTAATTCCAGGTTGTAAGGCAACAAAATAGGAAAAATGCCAAGGGGGTGAATACTTTCGCAAGCCACTGTATTTATTACTGCAAACTGAGATTCTGTAAAAACATGTGATTTTATGATTTCTTGTACGGAATGATGTGAATATTAGTCATCTTACTGTATATACTGTATGTAACCATGTATGGTTAGAGTGTGGTGCTGTGAAATGGTAGATACACAAAAATGTATGCGCGCATGACTGTAAGTCGCTTTGGATAAAAGCGTCTGCTAAATGGCATATTATTATTATTATTATTAGATCATTTTATTAACATTTTTCTATCTCTGTGTTCCAGCTGAGATTGGGGACTATGACCCTGGGAAACATCCTGAAGGATACAGCTCTAAATTCCAGTTTTTTCCAAAACATTCAGAGAAGCTGGAGAGACGAATCTCAGATATACACAAGACAGAACTGATGTAAGGACCAATCAACTGTTCCTGGGTCTCTCTCAACCACTCGCACATGCATGCATGTTCATGCATACACACAACATTCAGCCTATAAGACAACTCAAAGCACTAACAAGTATTTTGCGACTGCTTATTAATAATACAAATCATTTATTCAACTTTTATAGCTCTATTCATGACATAAAGAAATCCCAAAGTGCTGTAATTGTTATCGTCTTGGAGACTAGTTCCTTCACCCTCTTCTCAAACATTTGTTTCATCAAACTAGCAGAAACAGCCAGGTAGACTGGCTAATGGCCCGCTGTTATTTGAGGGTTTTGTAGAGAGCAGGGTTGAGATGGTGGAATTGTCTTGAGCACACAAATTAGTACTACCTTTCATTAGTACAGTCATTAGTGTACTAATGATCTGGAAGGGAGTGCAATGCATTACACCTAATGAAGTAGGATAGGGTCGTGTGTGCACACAACACACACACACAAACACGCACACACACCACTTTCTCTGCCAGCAGGTTAGCAGATTAAGCATCACTGAGGGTTTCTTCATGATGATACACAGGTTGTGAAGGACACTTACCACTCTGATCCTTCACGCTCACCCTCAGGACTCTGAAGGTCATGTGATTGAGGCCGCATGGATAATGGTTTAGCCATAATGGATGAGCTATTTATCCTCCCGCAAGGCGCTTCTCCTTTGTTTAAACCATAATTAGTATGAGATAATGTGCTCTATAGAAATGAAACTACATTGAAACATGGATCAGACATTTTCACTTTAGCTCAGAAGGGATTTGAAGGTTCTTTGTTTGTTGCCATTACTGAGTGCTTTGTCTACAGTTGTGGTCAAACGTTTTGAGAATGACACAAGTATTGGTCTTCACAAAGTTTGCTGCTTCAGTGTTTTTAGATATTTTTGTCAGATGTTACTATGGTATACTGAAGTATAATTACAAGCATTCCATAAGTGTCAAAGGCTTTTATTGACAATTACATTAAGTTTATGCAAAGAGTCAATATTTGCAGTGTTGACCCTTCTTTTTCAATACCTCTGCAATCCGCCCTGGCATGCTGTCAATTAACTTCTGGGCCACATCCTGACTGATGGCAGCCCATTCTTGCATAATCAATGCTTGGAGTTTGTCAGAATTTGTGGGTTTTTGTTTGTCCACCTGCCTCTTGAGGATTGACCACAAGTTCTCAATGGAATTAAGGTCTGGGGAGTTTCCTGGCCATGGACACAAAATGTCGATGTTTTGTTCCCCAAGCCACTTAGTTATCACTTTTGCCTTATGGCAAGGCGCTCCATCATGCTGGAAAAGGCATTGTTCGTCACCAAACTGTTTTTGGATGGTTGGGAGAAGTTGCTCTCGGAGGATGTGTTGGTACCATTCTTTATTCATGGCCGTGTTCTTAGGCAAAATTGTGAGTGAGCCCACTCCCTTGGCTGAGAAGCAACCCCACACATGAATGGTCTCAGGATGCTTTACTGTTGGCATGACACAGGACTGATGGTAGCTCTCACCTTGTCTTCTCCGGACAAGCTTTTTTCCGGATACCCCAAACAATCGGAAATGGGATTCATCAGAGAAAATGACTTTACCCCAGTCCTCAGCAGTCCAATCCCTGTTCCTTTTGCAGAATATCAGTCTGTACTTGATTTTTTTCCTGGAGAGAAGTGGCTTCCTCGCTGCCCTTCTTGACACCAGGCCATCCTCCAAAAGTCTTCGCCTCACTGTGCGTGCAGATGCACTCACACCTGCCTGCTGCCATTCCTGAGCAAGCTCTGCACCGGTGGTGCCTCGATTCCACAGCTGAATCAACTTTAGGAGACGGTCCTGGCGCTTGCTGGACTTTCTTGGGCGCCCTGAAGCCATCTTCACAACAATTGAACCTCTCTCCTTGAAGTTCTTGATGATCCGATAAATGGTTGATTTAGGTGCAATCTTACTAGCAGCAATATCCTTGCCTGTGAAGCCCTTTTTGTTCAAAGCAATGATGACGGCATGTGTTTCCTTGCAGGTAACCATGGTTAACAGAGGAAGAACAATGATTTCAAGCACCACCCACCTTTTAAAGCTTTCAGTCTCATATTCTAACTCAATCAGCATGACAGAGTGATCTCCAGCCTTGTCCTCATCAACACTCTCACCTGTGTTAACGAGAGAATCACTGACATGATGTCAGCTGGTCCTTTTGTGCCAGGGCTGAAATGCAGTGGAAATGTTTTTTGGGGATTAAGTTCATTTTCATGGCGAAGAGGGACTTTGCAATTCATTGCAATTCATCTGATCACTCTTCATAACATTCTTCAGTATATGCAAATTGCCATCATAAAAACTGAGGCAGCAGACTTTGTGGAAATTAATATTTGTGTCATTCTCAAAACTTTTGACCACGTCTGTACAAAGTTAGAAAACAAGGTGCTTTCTAGAACCTAAATGGGTTCTTCGGCTGTCCCCATAGGATAACCCTTTGAAGAACCCTTTTTCGTTCCAGGTAGAACATACTTTATACTGTGGAAAGCATGGAGGATGTGACTGCACCCAAATGAGTGTAGTCTGAGTTTCATAGGTATAGGAGCTGTAAGATAATTATAGATAAGATCCTCTGCTGCACTCTAGTGGGTTGTTCACGTCTCACCACCAACAAAACACCTGTCCGTCATGCCTGGCGTGTGATCATGGAAAATATCCTTGGAATGCTGAAGCAGGTGCCTATTTGGATCTTTTGAGTGTATCAGTAATTCAAGCTTAAGGGTCACGGGCATATCTTGATGTGTTTTTTCCATTGATTGTGCTGGAGGTCAGGCTGATACTCACGTTACTCCATTGCTATTGAATGTTGAATGGTTGGTGCATGATTAAATGTTAATGGGTAAAGGTATCTAGGATGGTTGACACAGTATCTGCCTGTCTGGCCATCTATTCAGATCTCTGTGATCTATTCAGCATCTGCTAGCTCATTCTGGTGATCAATCATCTGTGTAAGGGGAAGAGTTTTGTCACAGTTAATATTATTCACGCATTTTACCTTTACTTTTCATAGACCTGGATGTATTGATGTTAAGTATCTTAATCATACATTGATGCCATATTTGTTGATGCTCTCTCTCAGTGGCCAGACACCTGAAACATCAGAGCTGAACTTCCTCCAGAAAGCCCAGATGCTGGAGACATATGGTGTGGATCCTCATCCATGCAAGGTGGCCAATTCTCACACACTGCTGCTTCAGTTTAATACATTTTCATTTAAATACCCTTTTTCCCCTCTACTTGAGCTTTGAGGTCTCTCGTGGTAGAACGGATAACAACTTTCTAAAACAAATAGCAGCATATACAGTTATGTAGTATGTTCAGTGCGTGTGTGTATTTGATACAGGTATATCGAGTATTGTATGGTGCCATTATGTAAAACACTTTATTCTGTTTCTGACAGGATGTATCTGGAAATCCAGCCTTTCTTGCCTTCACCCCGTTTGGATTTGTCGTGCTTCAGGGAAATAAGAGGGTTCATTTCCTCAAGTGGTGAGTAGAATGATTTCTCCTCGAACCCTGAACCAAAAAACCACAGCTTGTTATACTGTCACAATCAACAGAGTGTGTCCATCTGCCTCTCTCCTCCTGAAAAGAGGTCCAGAATGCATACAGTACTTACAGGTGTCTCATTATCTTAGCTAGTCGCTACCATTCTGGGCATATGATTCCACAGCCTGTCTGTTTGAAATCAACTTGTTTACAGATTGGATGCATAAGAGAAAAACATGTTTTCAACCACAATGCAGAAATGATCATGCATGCAGCAATGGCTGTAAGAATCCTCAAAGACATACATGGATCAGTGCTGTAACATACTATTCCATACAGCTCCTCTCATTAAGCCAGTAACCCACTATATTGGGTCTGTAATAGTTCAATAGGAGTTAGATATTCACTCCTGATATAGAAATCACACCACCTAATTCAGAACAGTATGTCTGTAATACTTACTAATTCTGGCCAAGTAGACAATGTGAATGTTACAATATTTATGGCTGCTTTGTTGGTTTTACCCATCCCATGTCCCCAGTTTGCCTGGGGTATTATCAGAAATGTGTTCTGTGAGCCAAATATGGAGCTGTTTGTGTGATCTGCTAGTGGTTGTGATGAATTTTTAAAGAGCCTCTCAGTGCAGCTGGATGTGTGTGTAACTATCCCCTTTCCTTGTGGGCAGGAACGAGGTGACCAAACTGAAGTTCGAGGGAAAGATATTCCATATATATGCAAATCAGAAGGAGGTGAGAGTATTAATTATTGTTGTGTGTTGGGGGAGTCAAGCAGAGAGAGCAGCGCAGCAACATACTTTGACTCTGACAACAGGGCCTGGAGATACCATGTTCTAGGCATACCACAGACCAGTGTGTTCAATAAACAGCAGTAGTTACAGTAATGACTCTTGACTTGAAACTCTGAGATAAACTGTCAGTTTGTTTTATTTTCCTGCACATTTATTTCTAATGTGCAGGATAAAAAGATCATCTTGACGTACTTTGCACCAACACCTGAGGCCTGCAAGCACCTGTGGAAATGTGGAGTGGAGAACCAAGCCTTCTACAAGTAAGTGTTGTTCTTCCTCTAAGCCGTAGCTACACACTGTACTCCAGTGCATCTGTGAGAGCTGTCCAAAGGGTGCTCTCCTCTCACCCTGAAGTGTCCACCTTGAAGTGTCCTTCTCAGAGAGGGGATGAGACGCGTGGCAACGGTGACCTATTGTGAGTGAGTGTGTGATGGAGTGAGACAGTGAACACTCCACAGCTCCTCCAGAGAAATGAGTGCTCCTTCCGTCTCAGCCATGACTGATTGTGTGTGTCCTCTACCCCCCCCTCTGGGAGGTGTTAAAAGATCCCCAACCCCTGCAGCACATCAACACAATAACTGGAGAGAGTCTAGTAATGGATGAGGGTGACAGGGAATGTTGCTAAGGAGCGTGTGGGCTGAGAGAGTGCTCAGGTGATATAAGGACACAGAGGAAGGTGGAGGGAGAAGGGGGAAAGAGGGGAGGAAAGGGAAAACGTAGGGCAGCTCACAGCACACAGCGAAATCGAATTAGTATGATGTGATTTCCGGCTATAGGGCTATAGATCTCAATGGGGACTGGTGGATTTTCACGGACGCCTGGCTCATTGGCACAGAGTTTCATACTGCTGTAATGAAAGACATCTGTCTGTGAGTGCTAAATCCCACTGTATCAGGCACACACCGCACATACACACATTTATCATTCAGGGCATTTATGTAGGGCTTTTATGTAATTTTCCCATAGTTATAACGCTATTATGTCTTACAGATAGTATAACTAAGCTATTATGTCTTACATATAGTATACTGCATGCACACATCTCCAAGGAGGACTAGGCACTAGGCCATAATACATGAGAGTCAGGGTGTTGGTTTCCAGTCCAAGCTGGGCTTAGAGAACCAGATAGCATATAAGAAGGCTGGAAATAAAGAAGCCCATTGTATGTACTAAAAGTGAGAACAGCAAAGTGAGAATAGGCTGTGATGCTGTAGGAGGGAGAATAGGATCAGTCCACAGACTCCTTACAACGTAAAGGGTAAAAAGTATTAACAGCTCCCAAAGTTCACCCCTCTTCTCTTTCTTTCCTTTTTCTTTCTTCCCTCTTCCCTTTTTCCCCCTTCATCAGGCTGGAGAAGTCGAGTCAGGTGCGGACAGTGTCCAGCAGCAACCTGTTCTTCAAGGGGAGTCGTTTCCGCTACAGGTATAGCAAATTCTGACAGTGAGTAGAGGGCACTGCAGAGAGCCCACAGCTGTGCTTTAGAGCTTTTCCCTCAGGAGGGGACCTTTACCTGAGCCTGACACCTCATACACTAGGTTAGAGGACACAGTGGGGACAGGAAAGGGAACAGTGTTTTAGTTGCTTTGAGAACAATGTTCCAACATTCAGGTTCCATTTCATTCTTTTCATATCTGTGAACACCAAAGGGCAAGGGGCGGGAAAAGAACTGGGCATGTGAAACCTTTTCAAGTTTTATAGTTATTGTGTTTCACCTGTTTTATAGTTATTGTGTTTCACCACAATATGAACTGGAAATCTAAACGTTCAAATGGTTTCAAATGATTACAGGTGAGTCCAGTGTGTTATGATGAAAGGTTGAGTTTGTGTTTCAACATTTGGTAATTTTTTTGATATTGCAGTATTGTCTTGAGACAGTGATTGGGTTAGAGAGTTGGGTTCACCAGGTTAATCTAATCTCAGTTCCCATGTACTGTACTTCTCACTGAACTGCTGTCAGTGTACTGTGTGGCACCTGGGAGTCTGGGGTCTGGTGTGTTTGTGTGTTTGTGTGTTTGTGTGTTTGTGTGTTTGTGTGTTTGTGTGTTTGTGTGTGTGTGTGTGTGTGTGTGTGTGTGTGTGTGTGTGTGTGTGTGTGTGTGTGTGTGTAAGTCTGAGCTCAATTATTGTGCTCTATTGTAGTGGACGAGTAGCGAAAGAAGTAATGGAGCAGAGTGCCAAAATCAAACGAGAGCCTCCAGAAATACACAGGTAAGATCAATGCTATTCACTCGATGTCAATGTGGGCAGTGTATCATCTCAGAGGACAAATATGGGATGTGTGTGTGTGCATGTGTGCCTCTGTATGTGTGTGTATATGTGTGTACATGTGCATGTTGTATGTCTCCACAGGGCTGGCCTGGTTCCCAGTAGAAGCTGTCCGTCCATCACTCATGGCCCACGCCTCACCAGTGTTCCACGTACCCGCCGGAGAGCCGTCCACATATCCATCATGGAGGGTAAGAGTTTGACCTGAACCCTGACCCACTAGTCCCCTCAGTCAACACTGGCACTCAATAACAATCCCCTCAGTCCCATAAGAGCCTTCAGGAATGTGGACAGGAGTGACACAGCTCTGTCAGTTTTCTGTAGCTATATGAACATGTACGGTAGACTAGATAGTTGTGGGAATGTGTTGCAACGCTCTAGTTTGGATCTGTGGTTTTAAAGGTAATCTGTGGATAATTCAATGGAGCAATAACAGAGAGGAGGGTGTTAAATCCAAAGAGTTTTAAATGGATCAGGTCCTTGCTCCTATTTGGGAACCTGTTATCCCCCCCCCTCCCCAGAACACACACGCATATACACACACTGTAACCTGAGCTTGACCATATCCCTGCTTGTGGGAGTGGAGGGCTAAGTCGCAGGTGTGTGTGTCACTCAGGCTGCTCTATATCAGTGCCAGCTCTCAGCGCTGGGGGTGTGTGTGAGAGAGAGAGGTACAGTGCCTGTACAAGGGCAGCTGGTGCAGCCATCAGTCAGTACACCTGCCCTGGGGCCTGGGCTCTGGGCTCTGGGGCCTGAACCCTGGGGCCTGGTGGGGCCTGGGCTCTGAGCCTGCAGGTGGGCCTGCTCCTCCTCTCACACACAGTGATCTGACCTGCCTCTGTCCCTGAGGCTAACCTTGCAGGCTGACACTGCAGCATGGGCTTGGGTGAACAGGAGCAGCATGAATGAAGGTCACTGTTACCTGTCCTTGTCACAGCTGAGTCCCTGCCTGCCTCCCAGTATGTACACCTGGCTATACGCAGGCCTGGCTCTAGGCTGCTGCAATGAGTGAGAGGGTCTGGTGCTGCATGTCTCAGAGAGCTTTGAGAAGTGCTCACCCATCACCCATCACCCCCTGCCTGTGCTGACTGGCTGTCTTACAGTAGTATTAATACCCCTGCTGAAAATAGCCAGGGCCTTTCTCTCCATGTATGTCACTGCCCTGGGTGGGGCCTGAACAGGGCCAGTGCTGGCCGTCTGAACACTGCTACAGCAGGACAGTCGCTTTCGCTAGCCCTCATACTGCCAGCCAAGACAGCAGCCATCGGTTTAACACACATAGCGAGACTACCACATAGCGAGACCACCAGGGCGCTGGGACAGGGACCACCAGGACTGTACAAAGACACACATGCTTTGAGCTATAGAAGCTGCCACCATGGTAAAGTGTCTGATCCGCATCACCACCCGGGTGAACGTCCACCTGCGGATGATCAACCACTGCTACCGAGATGTGAAGGTGCGTGTGCTGAGCCTGGGACCCCGGATGCTGGGAAAGGCCCTGGGCGTCCTGCCCCTCTACCCTGCCCTGACTGGGCAGGAGCCTGGCAGCCTCTCCCCTCTGCCTCCCCCCATCCTGCCTGGCACCCCTCTGCCTGACTGCCAGCCTGATGGCCGGCCCCAGTCCAGCACCCCGACAGGTAACCTCATCAGCACCATCCTGGAGTGTGTTACACAGTGACCAGATCTCTTTGTGTTAAATCACTCCCACCACATCAATGTTGACTGAATGGAAATGACACCATGCATTTGATGCTGTTGATGTCTAATCCTCTAAATCAAATGGTCCTTGGTGGTCCTTTGTGAATGGAGTGTCTTTGGGTCTATTTCTTGACCTCTTTGAGATGTCGGTTCATTTATACTTTTGTTGGTTTAGACGAAGTCTTGAGTTTATGGGTCTCATTATTCTGGTTGTGATGGTTGAGGTACAAACTAATGAGCTGATCCTGGTTTGTTGTTGATTTGTGAAGTTATGATTCGATTTTGAATTCAATATATTTTGAACGATATTTTGGCCTTTGGAGGATTTTGACTTACTTTATGCAATGTCCTTTGCAAGATATATTGTGCAGTCAAATGTTTGTAGGTTGCATTTTGCAATCTGCCCTGCAACCAAGCATATCCTAGGATGTACTGAAGGAGATTACCAATGAGTAAAGATGGTCTCTCACTGCCACCCACTACAGAGGCATCCTGCTTTTGCTTTGACAGAATCTCAGCAGTCAGCATGGCTTAACAGAGTTGGCTTAATCTCTATTTTGTAATTCCTTGAGGAGGATTCTTTCACCTATGGATAAAAAGGACACATATGAGCATTAAGATACGCCTCATCTTCAGGAGATGATATGTTTATCCCTCTGCCTCTATGAAGGTGTAATATTGCGGTGGCTGTCTGAGGAATGGAACAGTCAGCGCAAGCTCAACTCTTTCTCACCCGCAGTGACGTCTCTCCTTTAGCTCGTATAAAGAGAATATATAGATTTTGTTTGCATATTGAGAAATGCTGCTTTTGCTTTTTCCAGGGTAAGCATGTGATCACCGATGAGCTAGCAACCTTTAATGCATCCTAAAGCTACCTGTAGGCTACCCCAGAGACCAATACTGTGTTAATAGTTCTTTAGGAAATCATGACTGTTGAAAATGAGAGCACAGGGAATTCAATTGACATGGGACATTACTTGAAATGGAGCTGTTGAAAATGTTTTCTTATTTGAGAATGACCAAATGCTTTATATGGGTGTTTATTAATCTTTGCACATATCTTATTTCATATTTCTATGTATTACTATCTTGTGGATTATGATATTCTCCCCCTGTTATTGCATAGGCCTATTCTCTTCACATTTTGTGAATTACAGTAGGTTGAAATTAGCAATACTTAGTGTGTGTTATTATTGTCCTGTACCTTGAGTTGAAGGCCCATCAAGAGTCCATATACAGTACATAGTTTCCCAGACCTATATTAGCTTCTGACTGAAAGATAAAACGCACACCCACCGTGACCTTCAAGGTTTAGACCTGGGAGGGCTCAGAGTGCTATGGGACTAATGAGCAAGCTGCTAATTAGTATGGAGCATGTGTTTGTTGATCTATCTCTCTGTCACTGGACATTCCCCACTCATCAGACCTTCATCTAGATCAGGGGTGTCAAACGATCAGGCCCGCAAACGGGTTTAATCCGGCCCGCGAGATGATTACAATTTTTTATTTTTTTATTTTTTTAAAGTATAAGAATGCGCTGCAATTTGTCAATAAAATAAACTGCTGTTCCAATTGCGTCCACTGGATGGCGCAATAGCAGTTGTGTTAAGCAAGCAAACTGTTTATACCGGGGCAGAGCAAGTAGGTCAAGCACGTGCAGCCAATGAGCTACTTTGTTTTGCCCGCGATATTTATTACGGCTTCTACTTTTAACATTATGTGCTTTGGCACCCTCATTGCCCCAATATGTCTCTGTCAAAAAAGAGAAAAGTGGACGCAGAGTGCAGAGTGTTCCAAGAAAAATGGTCATCCTATTTATTCACGGAATTGAATGGGAAAGCTGTATGTTTGGTGTGTTCAGAGCATGTTGCAGTGCTGAAAGAATATAACCTTCGTCGCCACTATGTGAGTCTTCATGCCGACAAATATGACAACTTTCAAGGACAGCGGAGATGAGAGAAGGTGAATGAACTGTTGGCGGGTCTGAAGAAACAGCAGTCTGTGTTTACTCACAGCCGAGACATCAGTGACGCTGCAGTGAAAGCTAGCTACCTCATTGCTAATGAAATCGCAGTGGCTTCAAAACCATTTAGTGAGGGTGAATTTGTAAAAACATGCATGATGAAGGCAGCGGAGATTGTGTGCCCTGAAAAGCGGCAGGCTTTTGCAAATATCAGCCTGACAAGAAACACAGTTGCAGACAGGATTTCCGATCTTTCAGTGGATTTGGACAGCCAGTTGAAGCAAAAAGTAAAGTCATTTATTGCGTTTTCGGTTGCAATTGATGAAAGCACGGACATTACAGATGTTGCACAACTGGCCATTTTCATCCGCGGAGTTGATGACACATTGACCGTCACCGAGGAGTTCGTGGAGTTGGTGCCGATGACAGATACAACGACAGCAGCTGATATTTTTACCGCACTCGTCGGCGCGCTGGACAGGGTCGGAGTGGACTGGTCCCGCGCTGTCAGCCTGGCTACAGATGGTGCGCCCTCAATGATCGGGAAAAAAGCAGGCGTTGTGACAAAGTTCAGAGAGAAAGTGCAATCTGCAAATGGAGGACGTGATTTTTTTACTTTTCACTGTATTTTGCACCAGGAGGCTTTGTGTTGCAAGTCATTAAAGATGGATAACGTCATGAAGGTGGTCATCCAAACTGTTAATTTCATCCGATCCAGAAGCCTGAATCACCGTCAGTTTGACAGCCTTCTCAGAGAGAAAGACCATATCTATGGCCTGCCATACCACACTGAGGTAAGATGGTTAAGCCGAGGTGCTGTGCTGAGGCGTTTCTTTGATTCACGAGAAGAAATTGAACAGTTCATGGAAGAAAAGGGCAAACCAGTGTTAGAATTTCATTCCGCAGAATGGATGCATTACCTTGCATTTATGGTGGATGTTACAGAGCACCTGAATAACTTGAACAAACAGCTGCAAGGGCACAACAAAGTTGTCACGCAGTATTATGACAGCATACGTTCTTTCAAGTTGAAGCTGTCATTGTGGGAGACGCAACTTGCCGGTGGTGATGCAGCTCACTTCCCCTGTCTGAAAAATGTGTGCGCGACCCAACATGTGGCAGACATGAAGCGGTTCAAAGATAAAATAACGGGACTGTTACGGGAGTTTGAGCAACGCTTTCAGATTTATGTTTATATGTTTTTATGTTGATGTGCTATTGTTTTTAATTGATTTTATTTTATTTGTATATTTAACCTATTCTTGACTCTGTGGTTCTTGCACTTGTTTGGGGAACAGGATTTCATTATTTTTATCTACATTTCTGCCTGAGAAATGACACCCTGATATAGTTCTGTGATCTGTGATATACTTCTGTGAATCACTGAGGCATTGTGTGTTTGTGTGTTCTTTGTCCTCAGAACTTTCAAATAACTTGAGGTGTTTTATGATTAATAGTGGTGTTGTGCTTTTGGACACTGTCCTCAGGCTCCAGCTTTATGTTTATATGTTTTTATGTTGATGTGCTATTGTTTTTAATTGTTTATATTTTATTTGTATATTTAACCTATTCTTGACTCTGTGGTTCTTGCACTTGTTTGGGGAACAGGATTTCATTATTTGTATCTACATTTCTGCCTGAGAAATGACACCCTGATATAGTTCTGTGATCTGTGAAACAGTTCTGTGAATCACTGAGGCATTGTGTGTTTGTGTGTTCTTTTTCTTTAGAATTTTCAAATAAACTTGACGTGTTTTATGATTAATAGTGATGATGTGCTTGTACTATTTTGGACACACTGTCCTCAGGCTCCAGCTTTATGTTGTATGTTGATCGTATTAAAACAAAGAAAACAATCTGAAGTTGTTGTTTTTAAGTTATATATACCATGATTTTTCCGGTCCGGCCCACTTGGGAATAGATTTTCCTCCATGTGGCCCCTGAGCTAAAATGAGTTTGACACCCCTGATCTAGATCAATGGTCCAGTCCAGACTCGTGTTCATATGATCCATCATTTAAGCAAACAGATTGCATTATGTTACTGTATAAACACACTGATATGCCCTCACAGGATTGAAGCTCTCTCTTATTAGACATTAGCACTGTAGTGTCATGTGTACTGGAAACCCCATCTGACTCTGGGGATCTATGATAAGGTTTCCCCTCTCAGACTGGTCTGACTGGAGCCTGAGTGTCTGCTGCCTGTAACAGACCTCTTTACACCCTGATTATGAACTCCTCTATACCTGCTGTACCAGTGTGAACACTAGACACTAGATAGTCTCTAGATACAGTGGGGGAAAAAAGTATTTAGTCAGCCACCAATTGTGCAAGTTCTCCCACTTAAAAAGATGAGAGAGGCCTGTAATTTTCATCATAGGTACACGTCAACTATGACAGACAAATTGAGATTTTTTTTCTCCAGAAAATCACATTGTAGGATTTTTTATGACTTTATTTGCAAATTATGGTGGAAAATAAGTATTTGGTCACCTAAAAACAAGCAAGATTTCTGGCTCTCACAGACCTGTAACTTCTTCTTTAAGAGGCTCCTCTGTCCTCCACTCGTTACCTGTATTAATGGCACCTGTTTGAACTTGTTATCAGTATAAAAGACACCTGTCCACAACCTCAAACAGTCACACTCCACTATGGCCAAGACCAAAGAGCTGTCAAAGGACACCAGAAACAAAATTGTAGACCTGCACCAGGCTGGGAAGACTGAATCTGCAATAGGTAAGCAGCTTGGTTTGAAGAAATCAACTGTGGGAGCAATTATTAGGAAATGGAAGACATACAAGACCACTGATAATCTCCCTCGATCTGGGGCTCCACGCAAGATCTCACCCCGTGGGGTCAAAATGATCACAAGAATGGTGAGCAAAAATCCCAGAACCACACGGGGGGACCTAGTGAATGACCTGCAGAGAGCTGGGACCAAAGTAACAAAGCCTACCATCAGTAACACACTACGCCACCAGGGACTCAAATCCTGCAGTGCCAGACGTGTCCCCCTGCTTAAACCAGTACATGTCCAGGCCCGTCTGAAGTTTGCTAGAGTGCATTTGGATGATCCAGAAGAGGATTGGGAGAATGTCATATGGTCAGATGAAACCAAAATAGAACTTTTTGGTAAAAACTCAACTCGTCGTGTTTGGAGGACAAAGAATGATGAGTTGCATCCAAAGAACACCATACCTACTGTGATGCATGGGGGTGGAAACATCATGCTTTGGGGCTGTTTTTCTGCAAAGGGACCAGGACGACTGATCCGTGTAAAGGAAAGAATGAATGGGGCCATGTATCGTGAGATTTTGTGTGAAAACCTCCTTCCATCAGCAAGGGCATTGAAGATGAAACGTGGCTGGGTCTTTCAGCATGACAATGATCCCAAACACACCGCCCGGGCAACAAAGGAGTGGCTTCGTAAGAAGCATTTCAAGGTCCTGGAGTGGCCTAGCCAGTCTCCAGATCTCAACCCCATAGAAAATCTTTGGAGGGAGTTGAAAGTCCGTGTTGCCCAGCGACAGCCCCAAAACATCACTGCTCTAGAGGAGATCTGCATGGAGGAATGGGCCAAAATAGCAGCAACAGTGTGTGAAAACCTTGTGAAGACTTACAGAAAACGTTTGACCTGTGTCATTGCCAACAAAGGGTATATAACAAAGTATTGAGAAACTTTTGTTATTGACCAAATACTTATTTTCCACCATAATTTGCAAATAAAATCATAAAAAATCATACAATGTGGTTTTCTGGAAAAAATTTTCTCATTTTGTCTGTCATAGTTGACGTGTACCTATGATGAAAATTACAGGCCTCTCTCATCTTTTTAAGTGGGAGAACTTGCACAATTGGTGGCTGACTAAATACTTTTTTTCCCCACTGTACATCTCATGTCAGTGATGTCTGGTGTACGCATAGTGTGCGGATAGCTGGGGTCTGTAGCCAACTTTACTGGTATGTTTTTATTTATCCTGAGTGTTTCTGTTTCTCTCTCTCCCTCCCTCCCTCTCTCCCTTCACCCTCCTCTCCCCGCCCGCTGCCCTGACAGGTCTGGAGTCGTTGCGTGACAGTGCCCACTCTACGCCTGTGCGCTCTGTGTCCCATGGGGACTCCTTCATGCCGCGCTCCCGCAGCCTGGCCACGAACGCCAGCGAGGGCTCGGCGGTGATCTCTGACGAGGCCTACAGCCCCTCTGACAGCGTGCTGCCCACCCCCGTGGCAGAGCACAGCCTGGAGTTGGCCGTGGCACGCCAGGTCAATGGAGCCCCCTGCAGCATCGAGGAGGAGAAGGAGTCAGAGGCGGGCACCCCCTCGGTGGGGGATGCAGGCGACTTGGCAGACAGTAGAGCGGCGGTAGAGGGTGCAGGGGGGGCCTCGTCGCTCAGCGAAGTGGAACAGGTGAATAAGTTTGTTTTAAGTGTCCTCCGTTTGCTCCTTGTGACCATTGGACTCCTCTTTGTCTTGCTCCTCCTCCTCATCGTCCTCACCGAATCCGACCTTGACGTTGCATTTTTACGTGATATCCGCCAGACCCCCGAATTTGAGCAGTTCCATTACGAATACTTTTGTCCCCTCAGGCGGTGGTTTGCCTGCAAGCTCCGCTGGGCAGGCAGTTTGCTCATTAACAAATGAGAGAGAGAGTGAGGCCGTAGAGTGCGTAAGCCCATTCGGGGGTTTGAGAAGACGATTAAGGCTCCGGAGAGATGGAGGGCTGCCCCGCCCCAACCATGAACCCAGCTTCTCTCATGATACTCCCGCTGACATACACCTCGGACCACTCCTGGAATCACTGTGCCAGGAGTTTCTCTCTCTCTCCCTCCATTTTGAGTTACTCCCCCTTTTTTCCCTTTACGTTAGTTTCTTTTTTACAAAGCCAGAAGACATGTTAGCATTTTTTTTTTATTTCAGGTATTTTATTTTTTCAAAAAATATAAACAAAAAAATATGAAACTGAAATCAAAGAACTGAAGTATTTTTAGAACTTTACTTTTTAGGAAGTTGACATTTTGTTGCAACGAATGAAAGTTGCCTTAATTTACTATTTACTGTTTGGAACATAAAGCATTTGCATACGAGAGGAATGTGGTGCAAGGATATCAGGAAAGCCATTGAAATGGTTCAGAACGAAGTGAGATAGATACAGTTTTGAAAACATCCATCCCCGTCAATACATCTATAATGGTTTTCATTGGATGGTCATCGATCAGAACACCTTATGTGAGGGAAATTAGAGCAATGTTCATTGTGTCTGTCAAAGTGCAAGTTATTGAAATTGAGTAAGTCAGGATGATTACCAAATGCCTTTTATGAAGAAAAAAGTAGATGATATGAAGACTGTTTTGAATTTGGCTGATTGTTTTAAAGTTATACTTTAGTGGAAATGCAACTACTGTACGTGTATAAAGTAGAAGCTGTGAAGTTGAAATCCATTTGTTAAAGTTTTATAAAGGATACAGTTAAATAAACCAGTAATCATGGTGTTTTGTGACCCCATCGTGTCAGTAGCTGTTAAAAGTGTTGATGATCAACCTCTTCAAAACACTCACTAGCACCAATAGAACCAGTCTAGGTAGATGTCGGTAGGTAGGTCGCAGTTGTAAATGAGAACTTGTTCTCAACTGGCTTACCTGGTTAAATAAAGGTTAAATAAATTTTAAAAATAAAAATAAAAAAATAAAAAGTGCAATACTCTTATGGTTAAATACTTCAGTACTTTTGAATGAGTGCATTTGTTTTGTCATATTTCTTAATTTAGTTTGATCTACATTTCTGGATTATGTTAAGCTCTGATGAAATTTAAGGATTTCTTTGTATAATGAATTTATGGTTTATTTTAGTTACATATCAACCTTGCTCTTAAGTTTGTGTATATCATACTAAAATTAATTGTTAGCATAAGAATTACAATGATGTACTTTTTGTACAAAGTAGTTTGTTTCCTAATATATTGACAGTTTTTCCATGTATATTTTAACAGAACTGAAATGTTATTTTGTTATTGAAGATTAAATTATACATTTTTTTAGCTGTATTTCAAGTGAGGTCTAGCATTTATGGACATATTGGAAGGGGGGGGGTTTGACTCAGAAACAGGTATTATATCCAGATCCACTGACTCCCCACAGATCACACCTCTCTCACTCCACCAGCAATGAAGCATCAGTCACTGTATGCATGCTTTTTAGAAGTCAAGACAACTATTTCCAATGCCCACTATGGGCCAGGAAGGCACAACAGATGGTGGAGGAACAATACATATTTTAGAAAGTAGACTGGACTACAATACCAACAGAAAACGTATAGTCAGTCCAAAGACATGTTTTCATGCCTGTAAACATCACAACAAATGCAGATAGTCAATAGTTTTCCAGCGTTTGAGAGGTGACTGTGCACTCTTCTGCCTCATAGCTCAAAGGAGCAATAATTCTGCTGTCATGGCTGCTGGATTCTGGGTAATATCTGTTTTTGTGTTTTTGTCTACCTACTCTACTGTACCTGGTGCAGGTGTGAGTGTGTTTGTGTGTCTGTATGTAGGAATGTAACAAACTTCAAGCTGATAATGTGAAGTTTTGACTGAGAAAAATATGGTCTTATTTTTGAAAAGGGAGAATAAAAGAGAGATTGAAAAGAAAGAGATTGAGTGAGAAAGAGGTAGAGGTACAAGGGATGTCAGAAGAGATGAGCAATGAGGAACTGGTAAGTGACCAGCCTCGCATGAAAGTATGAGTATAGTCAAAGGGGAATGCATATGTGAGCACTTGGTGCTTGTGACTCAATTGGCAGTACAGCCATGCCTGTTTTGGCCTGTTATTTAACACCATTACCTCCACACACCTGCTCCATGCTCTGATCCCCCAGCGGTGCTGCTGCCTGCTCTGCCCTGGGGAGCCCAGCCTGGGCCCATGGAAGCAGAGCACTGTAGCCCCTGGCCCTGAGTGTAGTCTGTCTCCCAACAGCACCCTGCTAGTTGAGGTAGACCCAGCAAGGAAGACACTACAGCATACTGTAGACCCATCAGTACAATGGCTGCATGTCTACTGTAGTTCTTAACCCTCCATCAACAGGTTGGAGCCCAAACATCTGCGATGATAAATATCCATGTTTATGGCAAAGGGGTGGTAAAAGCAGCCTTTAGTAGCAAATCTGGTGTAGTAACAGTTATATACCGTATAAAATTCCTGAGTCAAATATGCATGCTCCCTATGCTAGTATAGCATGCACTTCCAATGAACAGCAGATACAAGGATGGAGGACGACTTGAAAGGTTGAATTTGTCTGTACCTGGATGAGGAGTGTAGATCCGATATGCAAGATAACGGTACTGTTTCATTGTTTTATGCATTCATATTTATTATTTATTACTTGCGAATGCTAAATACTGTAAAGGTCAACAGGACAGTAGGCAGAGTATGTTAGTGTTACTTCTTAAAGGTCAGGGAACTGGAAGAGCAAAAAGTAAGGAAATGTCAATTGATGGTCTACGTTCGTATACATTAGCATTATGTAGCTTCAATGGTCTTTCCAAGCATGCAACAATTAAGGCAGCATCATTCAATGAGCAATAAGCAGTCAAATTGTAAGAGCAAATGGACATAGAAATCTAAACAGAAGTCTTACACTGGATATTGTGCTGTTGGTTTTTTCAGTGTCAAAAATCAGTTTACTGTCACTGTATCTACAATACCAACAAGAGCTCATGGTATGCTCCTTTTCCTTTTTTATAAAAACAGTAATAATGTGAAGAAAAATACAGTTATCATTATTAGTAGTATTTACCACATTTTATAGATAGTGTTTCTTTCATTGTTAGCGCTCTTGTTGGGATGTTGGCCTTCAAAGTTTTGTTCAACAGTACTTCAATGTGACCGAAGCGTCTTTCCCTGTGCCTGGAATCTTTAGTACCTAACAGCTCTGCATTTTACAAAAGGGGCAAATGAGTGAATGGACAGAGACATATATTCAGTGCATCCTCCTCATAAAGTATGGACTACCCTTTAATTTCACAGACTCAAAGGAAAACACTGCTTGTTGTGTAGCTTTGACTTCCCATACTGTAGATGTTGTGTTAATATAGGGTGGTGGTTACTGATCCCATGTCATGTTGTATGGTCAGCACTTATGGCAGCGTGAGTCATCTGTGTGTCTGGGGAAAAGTTCTGTAGTTGTCTCTATCTGTCTGAAATTATCTGTACAGGTACGTTGCCTTTGAAAAACCTTGAATCTATACAGTACATTTGGTCTGGTGATGTCATGTTTAAATTATTTTCTTTGACTGATCTCTATTGGGAACTGGCTGTAGTACTTGTTTGTCTGGTAGATGTTTCAGACTCTTGCTGGTAGTGTGTAAAACAGTATGGAATTGTTCTGATGTTATCTTTGGACATCTGCCATGGTTTACATGCAGTATGTTGGCAATCATTCTGCAGTTAAGTTCTATAGGACAAACTACATTAAAGTTATTGAACATCAGTTAAATTAGCAAAATTTATTTCAAAAGTGAATACATTGGCCATATCCATAAAGCCTGAACTGGAAACCACAGGCTAATACATAACATTGACTGGCTATTATTCTGATAAAAGGAGGTACAATATATTCTACATGTGATGGCTGTTTGCCAGTGACATGAAGAGTAAACAGTAGCCAAGCAAAAAGGCCAGCTTGAAAAAGAATATGCTAGTTTGACTGCATACAAGGTAAATGGCATTGAGCAGTCTTTTCCTGAAGGTCCCCTTTACTCTCACAGTAATACTACTTAACATGTAGAGCGCAGACAGAGCAGCTGAGGGAGTTAATAAAACCAGTCATACTATTGCCACCTTGTAATATGCTTCTGCCCCTTCACCAGCTCCCAAGCAAACAGACGCTCACACAGCACTGCATATACATGTAAATAAGTGTATATGCATACCAGTGTCTGTAGGCATGTCTTATGTATTCTGCATCTTTCCATGTCGGGACTGAAGGTTGCTGTTTATTTACGTAATATGAATATACAAATATATACAAATGTATGTGCCAAATCCAGTCCTTGTTCAGTCTCATCCATTCCGAACCCATGTTTGTACTGTAGGAAACCTTCTGTACAAAACAGTGTTAAATATTGTTTCTCTCTGATAGTCCCTTGTAACTGGTGCCATTAAACTACTCAAACTTGAAATAAACATTGGATAAAAATGTAAAGTGGATTCTTGTGGTTTATGGCTCTTCAATGCACATTCCCATCAATGCAATTAAAATGTAATCATTTTGTATCATCTTTCCATGAAAACAGTATGTCTCTGATATATTTTCTGAAAGTTCATACTATACTGACATCTAGAGGAAACCTCTTCATATTGCATGCTTTTGGGGTAAACGGCAGTAGTACAGTATTCGAAGTAGGTGTTTCAAGACAAAAATAATCAACACAATCTCCCAAATTAGCTTTGTTCAGGTGAAAGCAGGTGAACGCAATATCACATGTAGGAATCATATTTTCAGAAGCCTTTATTAAAAGGGGAAACCTTCACATCTGAATGGATAACACTAAGAAATACTGTTAAAGAAACAAACCAACAATGATAAATCTAGACAGACTGTAGGACAAAGATAACGCTGTACAAAAATACACATTGTGCAAAAACAGTTCAAATGTAACAAGTAAATCATCTACAGTAAATTGTAAACAGAATGAGTCAGTCTCAAATGCTGTACTGTTGCCTATGACTACGATTTTTTTGCTATTCCATGAAGTCGCTCTGTCAGACTCCAGGTATACCCAGGAATACTCATACAGTGCAGAAAAGGCTGGTTTGAGGAATGGCCGGCTGTTGGTCTGTTGTGTGGGGAGGGCCATGAAGCCGGGCCTCCTTCCCACTGGGGCTGCTGCTGCTGGCCTTGAGCCCCGTCCTCCCCTTCCTGCTGAGCCTCTTCCTGCTGAGCCCCGTCCTGCTGAGCCCCATCCTGCTGAGCCCCATCCTGCTGAGCCCCTTCCTGCTGAGCCCCTTCCTGCTGAGCCCCTTCCTGCTGAACTCCAGCCTTTAGATTCACCTCTGGAGTTAGACCCTGCCCATGACCCGTTGCTGCTGTAACCCCTACACCACGAGAGACAGGAGTGCACAGAATTAATTTCAATGGGAAAATGTAGACTAAAATATGACCTCAGATAAGACATAACACATACCCTTTCAACCTTTTGGATTTCTAGATCGCAGGGGCCTTCTTCCTCCTCTCTCCTCTGCTGTTATTGTTGAAATAACTGGATGACCCAGTGTCTTCCTCCTGGTCTCTGCAGCCTCGCGTCGTGTCTATCCATGCCATAGTAGAGCTTCCAGTGGTGTCAGCCGACTGCTCCTCAGCTGCAGAGAGGTTCAGACAGACACAAACGTTAACAGAAACCAACCACTCTACAGGTCCAACAGCAGGGCACAAATATGACTGAGCAACTTCTTATAATATAATAATAATATGCCATTTAGCAGACGCTTTTATCCAAAGCGACTTACAGTCATGTGTGCATACATTTTTACGTATGGGTGGTCCCGGGGATCGAACCCACTACCCTGGCGTTACAAGCGCCATGCTCTACCATTATTTTCTTTTGGTTAATTCAGCAGGATGCAGTTA